GCACATGTTATCATATATTATATTTTCGACTTGATTAATGCATTCTCCTATTCTTATGTCAAAAGTACTCCATATGCTTTTGGCGCATTGAATTAATCAAGGCCTGTGATGTTCTCGGTCTTATTTTATTATCTTTTAGGCATTGGAGCTTGCTCACTGTGTCAAAAAAGCCCAAACTTAGGCGCAATGAAACGAATAAATATAATTTAGACTCTGATCGAGAGCAATCGCATGATCTTCGTGGTCAAGTAAAGCCCCGAATCTTGCGCTTACTCGATAAATACCTGTTTCAAAAGCCGCATAATTTGGGGCAAGATGCCTCTGCTGTGATGATGCAGTTATGTGCTTCCATCCTTCCGGCTTCACAATCTTTGATATCCTCAAAGTCTTCTTGTGTTTCATCCTTTGAGTCTGATTCTTCTTGCTCCATGTCTTCATCTTCTTATTCAGCTTTGGAAAGATTTCACTACCCAAACAGTCCATCCAATCCAAGAAGGCATAAGTGTTATCATCGCAGTTCTGAAACATATTCTGGAAACTTTGACAGGAATATAAAGAAAATCAAGTCCTGCCTACGAGGCTATCTCAGGCGTCATCAGATGCGTGAAGAGAAGAATCTTCTGGCAATGGAGTGGCGAACCCTAGCACTAGCATTGGACAGAGTATGCGCGATCGTCTACATCATGGCAATAGCAATCGGCATCATCTGTCTTATTCCATGCCAGCATGATGGCACGATAGGCAGTCGCGCCAAGGATCATGTGTATGCAGACCCCTCTCCAACAGGAGACTTGGGTGCTCTTTATAAAGAACAGATGATTTAAAATATTTCCACTGTTTCATCTAATTCTCTTTGAATATTAATTTCTTACTCGGGTTCAAAGAATTTTGCCTATCTTTTCTCCTCGTCATCATATTTTCAGCTAAAAAAACTAAAAACCATTTGATTTTTTTCTCTTTTGTCACATGAAAAAGATCATTGCTATTGATTTACATATCTTTTCGTCAAAGTGCGTCTTTCATAGCTTCGCTAATCTGATCGGCATACAAATTATTCACAATTATCTTTTTCCCAAGATATAAATTTTTTTTGCGATGCCTACTTCAAATTGAGATCCGGCTCCATGCATTATTCAAGTAAAAAGATTTGTACATAGCATCAAAAGTTTATACTTATTCTATCGGGTTCGCAATATTTGATTCTTAAGGGTAGCTTCAAAAAGACGCTTTTCAGAAAGGTATTGTGGTCTAGTTAATCCAAAATTCTGTGCTTCATCACAATTGTGAGTAATAAAATTTCAGCATTATATAATATTCCGATCTGAAAGTGGTCCAGAGGAAGTAAGTGTATTTATAGTTTCATCAAATGGCTTCAGCCCTCACAAAATTCTATATCTACCAAATATAATTCGTATATAATATTCGTTTAAAATACAATCTGAAAGATATTAAACATTTCTTTTCATTGTATGGAGGTATTTGTGGCCTTCGCGTAGAAGAGAAGACATGTCATTACCTTTCGAAAGAAAAGTTAGTTAAAAGGGATTCGTGATTTGGTCTCACAGGAAAACGAAGAAGGATTGCTGCATAAGGAAGACTGGTGAATTGTGCGAAGAAGTCCTCGGCCCACCGTCCTGCGACCCAATTAACTTGTGCTAAGCTTTCCTCTGCCCTGTGACAGACATCATCAGAGCAGGTATCCATACTTCATAAAATAAAGCAAAAATATACTAAACCAAGAGGAAAGGTGGTCGGATATAATATAATCTCTTTCTTAAACACGTAACTTCACGAGCTTAATGAGGCATCCCAAGATTTGGTTTGCTACTTCAAACTTACTCTACATGCC